GGACCGTAATATTGGTTATCTTACGACGTAATTCTGTAATATTTCGGACACGTCAGGGAGTTGGCTCTTGAATGTACTTTTTTAGGCCGCCTGCAGAAACCTTACTCGATAAAAAATGATTACTGAAGTAGTGTGCATTTTCTCCGTTGGATGCCCTTTTGAATTTAATAATATTTTGCAGAAAACGTGTATAAATATTTTGTTTTTGTGCCCACTTGGCAGAAAATCATGTCTTCAAATTTTATACTCGAGGAAAGCGTATCTTTCGGCTTCAAAAGTCGTAAGATATTTAGGGTAAGGTGATTCCATACTAACGGCACAGGTAGTTGCCATAAACTCTTTGGTCTGAGCCTACAGACCTTAAATATACTTATCTACTACAAGTTCGCAGTTAATTTCTAAGGAAATTGGAAAGCAGCGATTCTTAAGACCGTCCAATGTCCATTCGAATAGCGTTGTATCTGCCTGCTTAATAATGTTCCGCAGTAAGTATACAACGTAGTCCACGTCCGCTGCAACATTCCAGGGGCTTCTTACGGTACCTCAGAATTTCAGTTGATGTTACATGAGATCAGTCACTGACTGCAGCTGTGATTATTCCCGACCACAGTTCCGCTGAACTGAGCACTATACTTCGACTACGACTACTACGTCTTTTCCGTCTAGCCCGAAAATTCTTACTAGCAATCCTTTCTCCGCTTATTTCTACCAGTCATCAGCCACTCAGTGCTGCCGTTGGAGGGGAATTACTTCGCTCGGTGACACTGGCTGTGGACGCGTGCAACCGAAGGGCGTGGACCCTGTGGTCTTTTTTGATTGCCCTGTTAGGCTGTGATTAGCAGACGGAATGATTTCTGTGCTTTTAGATTCGCCCCCTTACCTTTAAAATTCCAGGACTGTGCCTAACGGTGGGTGAAGCCCTAGTTAACTACCTCGCAATGCTGTTTTTAATCGTGCCTGTTTATAGTTGATCGACCTGCTGGATCGATGCGCAGCCACGCCTGAAGATGTCACCGTTGCATTATTTATTACAGATTATTCTTCAGCTGCAAGAGCCTAGACTTATCTTCCAGCTAGCCTTTAAGGTCGGCCGTTCCACTATCTACCACCTCCGAACGCGATCGGTCGCTCGGCCAATTTGACAGGCATGGTATTCCGGTTGTCCCAGACGGGAAGCAGCATCTGTGAATATGAGTCGTGTTCTGTTGATCTGAATTACTTTGTTCTGTTTGCCATCTCTCTTTTAGGGCGTCACTCTGCATGAGCTGGACTCCCCCGACGAACTCGACCCGAATGATCCCCACCGACTTCTCAATATCAAGTTGGATATCCCACCAGAACCTGAGCTGCCTTCTATGAAGAAATCGCCTGTAAAAAAGAATGCTTTACGGAAAACGAAGGGGACCTCTGCCGTCGTCTCCTCTAAGCAGGTCCCTTCTGCACTTGTTCTTCTCGTGCTTTTGTTCATTGTCTGGTGGGAGCGGTGAGAGGGGTATAAGACTGTAATGTGTGCTCCCAAAAACTATACTTCGGCGTTGGCGACAGTTTTCAGAGAAGATCTATAAATCCCTAGGACTCGCGGCACTGTTACATCGCACCTAAGCCAGGACTAGACACATGTTCGACTGGCATGATATCGGGCTGTATAAAACGCTAGACTTTATTTCCGGTCAGCTTGGCTCTGTCTTGTCACGGAGACGTGCTGTGAGAGGAGTGAAAAGTGATTCGATTCTGTGCGACGTTTCCGTATACTGGCAAGTAATGCCTTTGCAGTCCGGGGTTATCTCGACGCTCTGAATGTTGCGGCCTGAAAGCCTGCCACGTGACGAAATAACTCGTTCCCGGGGCCCCAGAGCTACTTGGATGGCTCCCTCAGATGGCCTCATGGCAACGCTCACCGGTGTGATTCCCACGTTGACGAAGTCTTGTTTGTGTCGGATTCGAGGCCGGTACATGTAGACTGAGGCTTGATCTCTAGGCAGTCACTGGGTCAACGTCTCGGCCTCGTCTTATAAATGAAGCACGCAAAGGTCGATATTGCGTACACCTCCCTTATTATCATGTAGTTAATGTGTAGGTTACCGTCACTCCGGAGTAGTGGTTATCCTTGAAGGGTCCAGAGGATGAATTATCGGGGCGGTTTTACTGAAGCCCTCTGCGAAGCTGTACAACCTGCAAGGGTACTTGAATTTCTTTTTTGATGCAGACAGAGGATTAAAAAGTTGAAAGGAGTGCGGCTCTAAGTCTCGTCAGCAAAGTGCACGGTGCAGCGGCGCGTGAGGCTTCGATTATTAGCAGTGTTAATGGGAAATCTGATCGACCTAATCCTGCCTCACCATTTAGTCGCGCCGGCGAAAGTCACTCACACACACACACACCTGCGAATATCCAGAATGCCACGCTATTCCTTGGGATTTTCGTCCTGAAGATGTTTGGTGACCCAGCCAACCATGGCGATGCCGGTGTTGCATGATTTTCAGCTTTAATGGTCCTTCATTAGCCCAATTCTACGCAGGGCCCTCCGCCATCCCCTCGTTCCTGCATGTTTCGGATTATCGCAACTCGGCGAATGTGGGAATTGGTAGTGGTATGCTTTGAGACGCCAATACAACTTTAGCCCTACTTTCAGGATCATGGATTGCGTTACCTACGTCCCAACGACACCGATGCACTGACAGGAACCGCAAATTCCTGTTGGTTTTGACGAAATAGTGTATGGACAGGCACGGCCATCCAAAATACTCGGGGCTTATCCGTCGTCTTTTTTTCATTAACAGCCGCACGCACACGCGTACCCCTTTAACCAAATAACTAAATCGCAAGAACACTCTTGATATGGTCACGTCTTTATCACGCCCAAAGGTCGCCTACTGCTTAACTCTGTTAATGAATAAAGCTGGGCCGCCTTGGAGCTGTAATCCCGTGTCGGTCGCCATCGCTCCCGACTCAATGGGCTCAGCTGAGGTGGAGACGTGCTGGCGTCATGCGCACGCTTCCCTTGGTTCGCGCCCCCTACTTGTTCCTCAACTTTACCTCGTGCCATATGGCGATTTACTCCACGTGTTGACTTCGGCTCTGTGAGCTATAACAAGAGACTGTGGAGTAATAACAAAATTGACGCTATCCTACCTTTCCGTGTCACCTTTTTTCGTCCCGTCTTTTCTGCTTAGGAGGAGGTACGAAACGGGAAACACAGAACTCCCAAGCGGTCGTCTGCCACCTCAACCGCAGGGGGAGGGGCTAAACACGGCGAGTACATGGTCCTGGACTCGGACAGGCCAAGTTTGTCGAGTGGAAAACGAACGACGTCCAAGACTCGGACAGCGGAGACAACCAGCGATGAGCTAGCTTCTGTTACCCCGCCGGCCGTCAATCTGGTATGTTCACGATGCAGGGTCACCCTGCCCTTTTTTTAACATCCGTGCTGGTCTTCAGATATGCGGCCCCTTGAAACGCGAGGCACGTCGGATCCGCCAAAGGCCTAATGGCGATAAGCGGCATTCCGACACGACTCCAGTCTTATGGCCCCCAACAGGCTCTGCGCCCCCGGCGCCTCCACAAATGCCCCAATCCCAGTCGAACTGTTAAGCCCAACGGCAGGCCAGCGTAGGAGTTAACCCCGCCTCCTCAGCGCCGCCCACCCAGCTGGGTTCGCTTAAAGCCTACACCCCCTATACGGGATACACCTGGTCCACTCATTACCTACCCCCTTCCCCTGCCGGTAGTCAACGCATACGTAGGCTCGGAGGTGTGTCTGGCCGTCTGGTGCCAATCACCCTTCCAACCAATTATAAAGGGTGGATGCCGAGCCTTGGTAGCTACCCCCCGTCCCCTCGACTCCGACTATTTTATGCGCGCCCTACGGTCTTGCCCCACTTCGCGTGTGTACTCCTCGCTCAGTCTTACGAGGCCTCACTTAGGATGCCATGACGGGGCGACTGCCCCGTGGTTGGCCGATGCCCACCCGGTCTAAGCTCCTAGTGATGACCCCGATCGTAATAGGCAAGCCCTACCGTGGCTTCCAACCGTTTTGGATATT